AAGTTCCAAAATACCCCTTAGCACCATATGCTACCTAAAGTATAATAATCCTTTAATCTGTCCACTGCATGACATCTGGGCACTTACTTGACATAATAATTCATGTCAGTTTTTCCTATCAGTATGTATCAGAGGTGGGAAGTGCCAAGACAGTGGTGGAGAGATGAGGATTTAGGAAAATGCCTGTGGGGGAGTGCCTTGGATCAGGGGAGACCTACCTGTGTGGCGGGTGACCAAACTGTCACTGATGTGTCTGCACAAAGTCTTTGTATAAGAATAATATTATCCTGAGATAAGCACAAAATGGAACAGAAAGGGGAATACAAACCACCAGGACCCAAGTTACAACAGCCTATTAACATTTACTGGATATCTCTTTATACCCTCTAGTCAGCACAACAGATGTAGCTGTGTTTTAAGACATTATCATTCATAGAAAAAGGCAAAAAAGATACTCTTTCCCTCCCTCCTGTTCCCGGTAATCTCAGATGTTCACCGTGCACGCCGAGGGGGAGGAGGTGGAGAGACGAGCGCTGGTGGGAGAAGAATGCAATTATCCCAAAGCCTCCTGACGGGCATCCACTTCTTCCTTCCAGCTTAGCTGCTCTGACCACAGGCTGGGGGCTCGTGGGACATGGACCAGATTGAAAAAGTGGAAGCAGACAGATGGTTATTTGTAATCATCATGTAAATGTAAATCCTATAAAAATGTTTTCTTTCTAAGGGCCTGGAAGCTGGAAAGCAGGATTAAGGCATGGATATCGAGCCTAGAATAATTTTGACCCGGCCACCTTCCCTCCTACCCCATAAACATCGGGGCTTTATCTCCACTTCCTTTAAACAAATTGCTGGAGCCTCGGCCGAGGAAATTAATTTGGTTTCCGTGTAATTCCCTGAGTTTATGAGCATCAGTTTGACCGAGGCCTGGATTTGGGCCTAAGCTGCCAGGTGCTGGTGAGCAGTTGCCTTGGTAGCAGGGGTTCCTTTTCACTCTTTCCCCCTCCCTCCCTGGCCCCGGCAGGTGCGTGCCCTGCGCGTGTTTATCTCGGCGCTGCCGCTGCTGGATGTTCTCCCTTTCCCTGGTTACGCTCCTGGCTACCTGGAAATGGCCGTGCAGGGCTTTGCATGCCTAAAAGACCAACGTGACTGCTCACAGACATCTATCTTGTTTGAGCAGCATCAGCTTTTCAAGCTACAAAGAGACCGATCAAACTTTAGTTAAACTCTTGTCCGCAGCACCACTGTGGGCTGTGTGTACGCGTTAGCTGTCCTTTCCAGCGCTCCAGTCCCTTGGTGCCTTTCCAGACAGCAAGGCTTAGCCATCCAGAAGCTTTTGCCCTTCCAAGGCTTTGCCTTTTTAAACGTTTGAGCTGAAACTGGGCTGGAGGAGAGGAGCATCTCCCCTCTCTGTCGCTGTTGCAGCCCCCTGGGATCCTGCCCTTCAAAGGGAACCGAACCGGCTGCGCTGAGGTGCCAGAGTTGGTAGGGAGGGGTGCCAGACATCTTTCTCTTTGTCACCCCTTGGTAAATCATAGAATAACAGAAAGGTTTGGGTTGGAAGTGACCTGAAAGATCATCTTGTCTCAATGCCCCTGCTGTGAACGGGGACACCTTCCAGTAGTTACTCAGACCTTCATCCAACCTGGCCTTGAACACCTCCAGGGATTGGGCATCCACAGCCTCTCTGTGGAACTGTTCCAGTGCCTCAACACCTTCACGGTAAAGAATGCAGGGAAACACCCAAAATGTAGGGAAAAACCCAAAATGTAGGGAAACACCCACGCAGGCACAAAGGGAGATGTGTAACTTATGTTAAAATTGGAATAAAGCAAAATAAGAACACAGGATGAGGAAGAGGAGGCTGGTGGAATGTTTTTCCCACCTGTGTTGAATTTTTAAAACATTAGTGTTTGTGCCCTGCCAAAAGGGCCCTGAAGAGGGCTGGCTCCTCAAGTGAACAAAAGCCTCTTGCTGGTGTGTGGAAAGGGTGATCTGCTCAGGCACAATAATAGTTATCTGGAAGTACCCAGCAATTGTGGATAATTGGCTGAGGAATATTCTGCAGCTCTCAATCATTTTCTGTTTTCACAGATGATTGTACCATTAGATATGGTGAATGCACTAAGCTGTGCTGCAACTTTTCCATTTACTCTGCTAATATGTGTGAACTCAACTTCAGTCGATGCTCCTTTCTTCTGTGGCTTCCTGTGCCACTGGAGGGGGACAGCCAAGCTCACCAGCTCGCACTCTGGCCCCCTCTTCCCTGCTCCCCCTCTCTTGGGGTGATGTTTGGATGTTCTGGATTGGCTGGGCTGATCAGATTAATGTCTGTGCTTTTCCATTGTTAGATTTCTTTAAAAGCACTGAATCACAGGAATGGCAGCCTGTGCCCTCTGCTCTTTACCCTGTTTTTCTCTCTGCTTTTATTCTTTTTTTTTCCCTTTCTTTACCTGGCTTTTTCTTCTCTCGCTCCCTAAACTTAGTGTTCCCTCTCTTCCTCTTCAAGTTGCTTTCCTTCTTTAATTTATATTCCACGCATTTTTCTCTTATCTTTATCTTTCTGTCACAGCTTTATTTTTTTTCCCTATTTCTTTTTCCTCCAACCATTTTTTGTTTTTCTCCAAAACACAGAATACTTTAGATGGAAATGATGAGATATATCTGTTCAACACTCGCATATGTGCTGAGGTACAGAGCAAGATTAAGCAAGGCCTGTAGCATCAATTTTGTCTTCCATTCAAGCCAGTTTTGCAGTAAGACTTTGGATAAAGGAATGTGATAAAATCAAATCACCTCTTAGCCTCATATTCTGAGGCTGATTGGAACCTTACACAGTTGCTGGGATGATTCAGAGAAAGTTAATGTAATTTGCTGTGTATCACTCTAGGAAACTGTATTTGTCAGGTTCATATAGCAGAGTGAAATGTTCAAGGAAAATGCTGTCCTTAATATTGCTGCCAGGAGTTAGGAGTCAAGGAATATAAAGCCATTATGTGGTGGGATCTGCTGATTTTCTGGGGATTTTCCACTAGCAGATTTGCACTGAAGTTCTGTAATTGCAAATAGAATCAAGCCAATAAAAATAATTATTTTGTGTGTAATGGAGGGAGCTGATTTTTATCCATTTGCCAGTTATACGAAAGTGGGCATAGCATTGTATAGAAGTATTTTTTCTTCTTGTATGTCATAGGGATCATGGAGATACAGGAAGATGCTTCCTAAAAAAGCCGTGATTTTGTAAGACTTTTTCTGCAGTTCTTTCCCTGAAATTGCCATGGTATTGGCTTTCTTGGCTTTGCAAAATGTTGTACTGCCAAACAGTCAGCAGGCCATGATCCTCATCATGTTTCTGTGCAGTGCATTGCATAAGTTATTTCTTCCATTTGATCTTGAAGTTCTATAAATTCCATTTCTGTCAATTTGATTACCGCAAATCAGAAGCATACAAGTGATTTGTATTAATCAGAAATATTTTGGGATTGAGTTTTTTTTTGTTTTCTGTTGGAAAAAATATGTATCCATTGGGTATGTCACCTAAGAAGCCTTCAGGTCTTTGCCAGAGCTGCATTTGTTGCCAACTTCATCCTGTCACTTCTGTTTTATACTTTGAGAGCGAAACCTAGATAGTCACTCTTTTTTTGTGTGTGTGTTAGAAAAGGAATTAACTTCCAATTAATTCCCTCCTTCCTCTGGGATCTACCTGTGTATCCCAAAATGGGGAACTATAAAAGTTACCTTGTATGTCGTTCTGAGTGCCACATATATACAGCCCACTCCCCTCAGCCTATTCAGAAACCAATTCTTGTACGTATTAATCATATTTTTCCTCTGGCTTATTACAGAACAGAAAAATATTCCGTTCCCAATGTTAAAATGGGGCACATTTTATTAACATTGAAAGCAGTAAATTATCTCTGCTTATGAAATGAGACTGAGCAATTTCTGCTGAACTCTTCCTGACTTGCCCCTTCACTAGGATACAGTGTTTTCTAATTTCTCAGAGGGCCCTGGTTCCATTAAGGGCGAGAACTGTTTTAAAGCTCTAATGAAAGCCATACGTAGCTGAAATTCAAGGAGGGGCAATGCCCTAAATTCTATTTCAGTAGCTCATCTAGAGCTATTTTCAGTTTTATGTTTATAAGAATGTCAATTAACCTAGAGACTAGGACACACATGGAAGAATAACGATGAAGTGGATATCATTTTAACACACTGAAGCCAGCTAGTTGGACCTAATTTCTTTATAGAAGCTTGATTTACATAACAAGTTGGCCTGTGATGCCTAATTTAGTTCTCAAAGAGCTCAGTGATTTAAATGCCCTTTGTTTTCTATGTCATGGGACAGCACTGGTCGAAGTTGCAGAAATATTAGAACTAAATATATAGAAGGAAGAAATAAATGTGCTGGAAGAACAATAGTAACAGCTTGATTTCTCTGACACCTTTCGGAACTGGTGATCACTTTGGTATGTATTTGGTGATAACAGTAGTAACAGGGATAACAATAACAGCCTTAATCAAGGTGTAACTCTGTAATTCAGGGTCAGTTCTGTCCCTTTTTTACCTAGCTTGTGCTGAAGCTGGAGGTCCAGGCAAGGCAGATATTCAGCACGTTGTTTTCTGTTATGAAAAGAACTGAACATCCTACCTGCAATGCTACTTTTGCAACGATGGAAAGTGACCCTGTCAAGGTTAAAAAGAGTAAGGGGTGCTACAGGTCTTTCCAATTTAAATGCAGAGCAGTGTTCTTATCTGGAGAAAAAAGCAAGGGGAAAAAAAGCCATGTGTGTGAAATCTGCCTCCGTTGGACAAAAGGACCCACCCACCAGCTTCTTTTATGAGATCATTTATAGTCAATGTAAGATGCTAACTCGTCACAGAATAAAGGTTGACTTGTTTGTTTAATATTATATGTTTCTACATGTATTTTTCCCCCCCCCCTTACAATGTCATCGCGTCTAATAATTTTTTTTCCTTCTTTCCCTCATTTATTGCATTAGTGCTACGGGATGACTTCCGCCAGAACCCTACAGATGTGGTGGTGGCAGCTGGAGAGCCTGCCATCCTGGAGTGCCAGCCGCCTCGAGGACACCCTGAGCCCACCATCTACTGGAAGAAGGATAAAGTCCGCATTGATGACAGGGAGGAGCGGATCAGTGTGAGTACAACTCGCTGGTTGTTTGTCTGCAGACACAGGACACACAGCCAAGAGCACCAGAACTTTATGGTTTTATAGCTTTTCCCACAGAGACTTTTGGCAGATTGCCTCTCTGAGCTTTCCCAAACGAGGGCAGAAGGTTGTTTATCGCTTCTGGTTTGGCTCTCCACCCTGAACTTCTCTGAGGGTTGGTTTGTCCAGTGCAATGGAGATCCATTCAGCTGTAGATTTGGTCATGTAAGGTGCTCAGTTAGATGGGGGACTTGGTGGATGTCTTTGAGCCATTTGGCCTTATCTTTTCTACATCTCAGTTCTCTGAACTGTCAAAATCAGACTTTATATCAGAGAGGTGTTTTATAGGTAAATTCAGTCATATCTCTGAGGTAGAAAAATACCACATGGGAAAAAAACCCAACAGCTTAGGATGATATTGGTAAAGTTGTATTTAGTGTAGTAATTTGGACGTGCATTCTAAATGAAGGCTGAAGTCACCCTCTAAAGAGTTATGACTCCTGAATATGAATCCATATTGACTAATTGAGTAACACTGGCTGAATTCTGTGACTGTTCATTTCTCGTACTGAGTGAAAAAGGATCCAGCAGAAATACCTAACTTATCAAGGGAGTAGAGATAAATCATGGTCTGTGCGAGCAACTGGGATAAATTAAGGGTGTGAGGACATCTCATTCCTAATTTTTAAATGCTTAGCTTTTCACCAATGATATTCCTTCAATAAAGTTTTATGTTGTATGTAATGATTCAGTGCTGACCTTATTCAACATGGACGTACTATCAGGAAGATTGTTTGTGGCTTTGGGTGCCTAAGGAATGATTTCAAGTCAAGCAACCTAAGTTGTTGCTATTTGTGGACCAGGCTCTCTTTGCTAGGGTCTACACAAGAGTAGAGAAGGAAGAGTTGCAGGGAGCTGGCTATCATTCCCTGACTCTCAAGTTTCTATGGCTGTATTCCTAGATTATTCTGAAAGCACCCCATTGTCTAACCTTTGACACTGTCTGTGACTTCACAAGCTGCAAATTTTTACTTTATTTCTTTCAACTATCCTACTCTTTCCCTCTACAAGCACCCTTTGTAGCCAAAAAAATGTTAAGTCTTACGAGACTCAGGTGAATTTTCAGTTTGGGCCAGATTCAGTCTGTTTGCCACAGCAAAGAGAGAAACTGTCTTAATCAGTGATCAAGGAAACTGTTAAGAAACCAGTTAAATGAACTAAATAAAACTAAATCCAACTGCCTTTTTCTTCTGAGAGATGTCAAGAGTGCTTTAAATATCATCATGCAAGAAATACAAGCTCTTTGTGCTGCCAAGAGGCAGCAAGAAATGTAAACTTTGAAATGTAAAGAATCTAATGAACACCGAAGGAAAAAAAATGGAGTGCAGTTGGAATTATTCAGTAGTTGAAATTAGTTGCAAGCTGAAATTAGTCAGTATGATAAAAATATTTTCTAGAACAGCTTAAATATATTTAAAGATATAAGTTTATAATTTTAAAGCCATACGTATATTTACAAGCAAAACTTTAAAACCCCTTGATTGTGGAACTTGTTGCCCGAGAAGGCAGCTTTTTTTTTTTTTTTTTCCCTTTTTTCATACTTTATAATTTTAAAGCCATACGTATATTTACAAGCAAAACTTTAAAACACCTTGATTGTGGAACTTGTTGCCCGAGAAGGCAGCTTTTTTTTTGTTTTTTTTTTCCCTGGTATACTTTGTTTATCTGAAGTTAAAAATATGTTCCTTGTTTTGAGACAGATCCGTGGCGGGAAGCTGATGATCTCCAACACCAGGAAGAGCGACGCGGGCATGTACACCTGTGTGGGGACCAACATGGTGGGGGAGCGGGACAGCGACCCCGCAGAGCTCACTGTCTTCGGTAAAGTGACTCTTGCCTTTATTTCCTCGTCACCACAAATGCCATAGACTGGATTGCCCTGGGTGGCTCGTCAAACTGTGAGCCAAAACAAGGTTAACAAAACACAGCAGTACTGCTTAGAGTGCATTTCACAGTTCCTGAAGAAGGCAGATTTCAAAACCTGCGGTTTGTAGTGGTGGAGCTGTGATGGCTCAGGGTTTTCCTTCTAAGCACAGTGCTCTCCCTCACAAAATTGCCAGAAGTAGTTAAGCTACTTCTAATACGGTTGACAATGCCTGCTTACCAGAGATTTGGACTAACCTTGCCTATTTAAACAATTCCATATTCCTGTGGGGTTGTGAAATCAAACCTCTGTAGGAAAGCACGAAAGATCAGTAAAACGTCTGTTTGATCAGTAAAATGTCTTTGGAGAAAATGATGAAATCATTTTTCTGTATATAGAGAGAGACTTTTTTCATTTGGTTTTTAGAGGGCATGAAACAGCTTTTCATCCTGTAAGCCAGGTGCTGCTGAATAAATCAAAAATTAATAGGTTTCCTGTGTGAAAGAGCTTCTAGACCTGATAGGTAAGGCAAGAAGTTGTTAGGTAACATTCCCTCCATGGTTAGGGTCCAGAACAAAAATAGAGTAGTAACTGAACCTAGAACTGGATCCATCCTGCTAACAACTGGACAAGAAGCAAAGCCACAAAATCCTGCTGTGATACATCCTGCAGGCATGGTTTTGTAGGAATTAGTCAAGAGGTTCTGAGCAAACAAAGGAAAATCAGTAAGGACAGAACCCTCACTGCTAAAGAAAACATACATGCCAACAAAACAGAAATAGTGTTAATGTTCCCTCCTGCTACAGCTCTTTGATATCCTTAATATACAATATTAAAGTTCTAAACAAGCCTGTTTGTAATTCTAGTAAGACTTTTAACAGAAATCCTAAGGTCCTTTCTGAGGCAGATGCTCCTATTTTTTTTCACCTTCTGCCTAATATGGTGCACTGGAAAAACCAGTCATATTGCTATCTCTGTGTTTGCATGTATGTGCAATTCAGCATTAGTTTGTCCACTTTAAAAAACCCTCAAACATATTATGGGATTCACAAAAGAAAAGTTTCTGCTAGACAAGATCTGAGCAAATTCTACTGGACATATGACTGAATATTTCCTGCTTTCCAGCATTACAAGACTGTAAAGGCTTCCACTTCACTTCGTTTGTTGTGGATTCATGGAAACACACAACTTTTAAAGGCAGAACTATTATACATTGCAAAAAAAAGCAGAGAAAGGATCTCTATCAAATTATTATGTCCTTTGCAGCCAATCTGTTGAAGTTGTGCCTTTACACAAATGTGAAAAAGACATGACATATCTCCTTCATCAGTTTAAGTACTGCTAATCTCTGGTAATACTCCCTGTGGATAGCAAGCAAATTGCAGTCCTAAACTACAAAGCCCTAAGAAATCCTTAAGAAAATAATTTGTTAAAAAGCATTGAACTGTAGGAATGAAAACTGAAATGTGCATGTAATTTCATATCCTGCCAGGCTATGAAAAATATTAGGTTTATCTTGGTATGTACAAGAATACATAGCCAATTGCAATATTCTGAATTTTTTACAGCATATAGTCATAACAATCAACTTGCAAAAATACAGTCTAAAATTATTTGGTGAATACTGAACAAAATCAGCAATAAGTGAGATTAGATATTTTAATGCTACATCATTGTGTTAGACTACCAAAAGAAAATTGTATTTAAAGTACTCTATCTCAGTATCTTTCTATCTAAAATTCCCCTTCTATCCGGGGATAGAAGGGGAATAAATCCAGAGAATGGGAAACATCAGGTCGGCTGTGCATGTTCAAATTGGCTTCAGTGAGCACAGGCAAGACCAGGGATCAGATGTTAAGTCCACAGCCACCTTCTAATATGACTCAGAGGTTTGAGGAACATGGGAATAGGGCAAATTTTGAGGCAAAATATGCTAAAAATAGCATAATACTTATATGCAATTGATGAGTCCAACTTTAGTTCTTTCGCACATATTTGAAAATGGACTTTACAACAAAAATAAAAAGATCTTAGCTAAGAGACTTAGAGAATTTAATTAGATGACTGACAAACCTAGAGCTGGTGATGATTCTGGAGAGGAATGCATATTAATTAGCTGTTTATTCGTTCCTCCTTTCCCGAATAGCAACCCTCCAAACCCTTTTCCTAGAGTGAAGGTGGCCTTAGTAAACTACACTATGTAGGAAAAGGAACTGTTTCATACTAGTTCTCAAACCTCTCCGGGAACCAGCCACTTGTTACTTTTGGCTTTGCAAGTTTTTCTGTAATACCTGAAGTTCACTTCTGCGTGTGGCTCGTGACAGCTCTCTGGCTCCCTGTACAGAAAATTTAGCTGGAGGCATTGCCTCTGGAAAAAGTGACTCGGTGTGGTGGCCTGAGGGGAACAGCAGGGAAGCCTAACCTAAAATATTACACCTTTCCTGAGTTTAGAAACAAAAAAATAAAATGGACAATAAGAACCTTGGAAAGAAGTAGGGGGAGAAAATAAAAGTTTCCCATGGGCAGAATATATCCACTTGGCTGGGTACCCATTCAATAACCCTTGCTGAGAGATAGTTGTGAATAATACATGTAGAACTTTCACAAAACAACTGATGTGTTTTTTTTTTTCCCAAGCTTGTCTGCTTGAAACCTTGTTTTCAACATTCAGGCACTTCTAACTGTATGCTGGTAGTGTTGATGCAGACTGCATTTCTTTTGCTCCCAAGTCAGGATTCTTCTACTAGCAGAAAACTGTCAAACGTTCATAGCAAAATACCATAAAGCAAACTGAGCATATAAGCAGTGCTACCCAAAATTATTCCTGTGTTTTGAACAGTCACGATGATGCACTAAATTTTGTTAGTCTTTTCTTTCAAGCACTATTGCTAGTTTTTGCCTTTATGAGGCTCCAAGGTGCAATCTTGGGGGAAAGCAAGAAAACAGGGGCTGTGACGGAGTTGTCCTTTAAAGGAAGTTAATGACATCAATCCAAAAAGAGGCAGCGTGGGACTTTATTATTCTAAAGGCCAATTTCAGAAGCGTAAGTGATACAAATTAGGTTGCTTTGCTTGTGTTTGGTCTCATAGCCTTTGGCTGAACAGAATTAAAGCAAGATGCAAAACAGAACCAGTTTAATTCCAATTTGTAAGAAAGCTTTGTTTGTAAATACATAATATGGAGCCAGAAATTAAATAAAGTGGGAATTACTCTTTAAGATAACCTTTATCATTTTGTCATGCTATTGCCCTGTTCTAAGTTTTCAAGTCGTTTTAGCTGTTTCAGACTCTTCTTTTTTTTTTTTTTTCCTTTGGACTTAAAATGATATATTTGAAGTGCATGTACAAAGGTATGTCTTGTATATTGATTCTAAAGCTCAGTGAAATCAATGAAAGCCTTAGTATATCAGCTTCAAGAGACTGGCATCAAGCAGTGGAAAAAGATATATTTAGAAGAGCCTCAAAAGAATATAAAGCATAACTAAGAAGAGTACAAAAACGTCTTTAAAAGATATGTCAATTTGGACATAACAAAGATTGTTTTGGATTAATCTTTGATTTTAACTTTGGTACCTGACCCTTTTTTCAGCTAATAAGGTCCTATGGGATGAAGAGGTACTTTTGTCTGATGCTTGAAGAAGTATTTGTGTTTGATGTTCTGTAGATATTGTCAGGCTGAAAGAGAAGCCATAGTTTCAGGAAGAGTATTCTGTGATGACATGGCATTAGAGGAAAAAAATCCAAAAATCCTTTAATGAAGGATTGGGGGCACATTGTGTCCCATTTTACTTTCTTGAGCTCTGCTTATGTGGAAGGCCTTAGCAGAGAGTCTTGTCCCATTGTATCCTGGAAATTATTCCCAGAAGCTTTCCCAGTCACATGGAAAAATCTACCAAAACCAGGTATACATTCACACATCGAGACAGGGAAATCAGCACTGTGTGTTTTGTACCCTTCAGATGAAAGCTTTTCCAGGTTTTTTTCCAATACTTGTATTTCCCACTTGCAGTTTACTTGTGGCAATTTGCAAAAAGCCACTTTGTCTTTACAATATTTGTTATTCACAGATACAGAGGAGCTGTAATAGGATAATGATACTGCTGTGAAAAAGGGTCTGATTTGGTCTCCAAGGTCTGCACAGAATGGTCAGTAAAGACTGAAATGAACACGGTTGTAGACACATATAAAAGGAGAAAACTACTAGTAATGGGTAAAAATAATTTTACTGCATATGCATGTGCCTCTTGTCGGTGCTCCATGCCTTTACTGGGCAAGTTTGTCTCACCTTGGGTGCTGCTTAGGGAGCAGAAGGTGCTTATTTCTAAATGAAAAATAGAAAAGTGCCTAAAAGGAGGCAGTAGAAGAATGTCTTTAAATATAAAGCCGTCTGCTTTTGCAATTGTATTTTCATTTATTTGGCCAACATAGGTAAATTTAGTCAGATCGTAATATCCTGTCTTATTCCATGTCTTCTTTTTTGGCAGAGAGCTTTACTTCATCCAGACTACATTGTATTTAATAAAATATCTATGCTATTGACAGCATTCTGAAGTGAGATTTGCTTCCAACCATCTAATGTTTCCTTTTTTTTTTCTTTTTGCATCAGAATGCTAAAGGGAAAAAAGCTTTTATTTTTAACATTTGCTATTAAATCCCTCCACAAAGCCTTTTAATTTTTACTTTAATACTCTTTCTAGAACACAAAAACATTTTAAAAAAATTATGTCTTCTCTCCAGCAAAGACAGAGAAAACAATTCCAAATCAAATTGAAGCTCTGCATTATGGGGACCATCAAATCCTTCACTCTAGCAGTTGCCTCAGCAGAGAAAATATATTAAGGGTAGTTAGGATCATTTTAATTAGATTGAGGCCTCATGTATGGCTGTCTAACTTTTTGAGGAACAGAGAAAGGGCAATAATATATCTGAAGGTCATCTGAGCCTCTGTAATAGACTGTGATACTCAGACCAATTGTTAAATATGGGAAAAATTGAGTTCTGAGGTTAACTTGTGTCAGCACCCAAAGCAAGGAAAGCATTTTCCTGTTTCTGGTTAGGATCTGTAGGTTTCCTTGCAGTGCATATCTCAAGCTCTGCAACAGATTGTTAGATGTGTGTCCAGATTGCATTAACAACCCCCTTTTATAACTGCAAGCAAAGTTTATTCTGAAGTTATAAAGGTCACCCTAGTAATAGCATGACTGGTTGACATGACATATAACCATGACCTATTTTATAGTTCTCTTCAAAGATTTTTAATATTCATCAGAGAAAGTCTGGGAAGTAGGTACTTTATTTACTCAGTGAAAGCTTATAAAATAGCTATATTAAAATTTTTATATATGTCTGTGATTTTAATTTATCACCCTTTCTTGTTGTTTCTCAAATATATTGCGTTCTGGATGCTGTTGACAGAATAACAATGTTTAATTATACCACAAGGCTTTATTTATGGGCAAACCATTTCAGAAGGAAAAAAAAAAAAGAAAAAAAAAATTTTTTTGTCAAGATTAGCTCTTAAACTAAATTTGACCTGGCTGTGTGAAGAAACCTTCTTTATTTAGCATGCTTGGGCAGGCAGCGCTCTGTCTCCTGAGAGATTAACATTGTAAGCAAGTTATGCAGGTGACTCAAATCCAGTTAATCTCATATAAAGAATGTTAATTGCATTGGCAATGGCATTCGCTCTGATCACTTTATAGCTGTATAATTAGCTATTGGACACATTCAAGGGGTTTTCTGAGTGATATAAATACAGGAAACAACATGAGAGGTAACTTGTTCTTTCCTGATTCACGCTGTGCAAAATGCAGAGATGATGGAAAAATGGAACCAGCAGTTAATGGTGTTTGCATGTCCTCGCTAACTGGGATCTGTCCTTTCATAGCTATTTATTTTCTGGAAACTTCTTAAATGTTTTTGAAAATATACAGTTTAAGAAGCTGATCTGAAACAAACGTGTGGGTGTATGCTCCTAAATTGCCCAGATGTGGAATCCAGGGATTTACCTAATGACCTTTGGGCCATTTACTTTCTGGGTTCTCCTCAACATGCGACAGGGATTTATTTCCTCATCTCCTGTGGAGAAGAATTTACAACCACAAGTAGTAATTTCATCAATATGCACACACTAATTTCTTAGCTGTTTACATGCAGCTTTTATAAACGTGGTCTAAAATAATCTTTGTGTGCAGACCAAGCCGTTGCGCAGGTACACACAGAGTTATTTAAATTCGATGTGGGTGTACCAAGGGCCTCCAAATCACCAATCAAAATGTCAATCTGGATCTAAATTTCTTAGTTTAGGATCATCTCTGAAAAAAAAATACCAAAATGAAGAATGTATTATGTATGAGCTCAGAGCAGGGTTTGGTCTGAGATCTTCTTAGGAGAGCAGTTGTGAATAAGATGCTGTTGCTAACCTGCAGAAAGTTTCATAAAGAAATTCCCATCTAGATTCACATAGTTACAGGTGGACCAAGTGCATTGCTTAGCACTAATGTTAAGAAATGATAGGGTTTTTTACCTTGTCCAGTTTTAATAAGTTTGTCAAACTAAAAAGGCTTTATCCAAAATATTCTGTGCCTGATTAGAAAACTGATTTTAATTTATTTATTTTTTAAATTGCCAAAATAATTCACTCTTCTCTAAAAATGTTGAAGTTCTTGCAGTTTTGAGTAAAAGGAATAATTGGAGAGAAATGGGCAAAGGTTTGAAGGAGAGGAATGGAGGAAGCTTTCTGTCCTAAGTGCAGGTCCGATACGATATTTCTGGGCTAAGATGAGACAAATTGGCTAAGGAAGCAGTCAGCAGCTGGATATGGCTTGTACACAGACTTGAAATGTGGAATAGTAAAGATTTCAATGTGTGGAAAGAGACTAGAACTGAATTTACTTGCCCAAACGTTGCTGAAACCTGCAGGTCCTGGGCAGGAACAGGAATAGGACAAAAGCAATGGCTTGGGGAGAAGAATCTCTGCCCGTTAGACATATTCTTATCTCTGTCATCTGGAAAAGTGCTATAGATTCTTGAGCATGTCTATTCTTCTGCTGACAAAATACGTTTTCCCCTGCCAATAGGTCCCCCTGCTACTATCATGGAATTCCTATCTGATGCTGTCACTCATTTGCATAATTACTAACAGGTGGTTTTGTGTTCCTTAATTTTCTGACTTGATATTCTGATTTATAAAAGGGGTGAACATTTTTTTTTGTCTGCAACTGAATTCGATGGAAGCTGAGCTTTGAACACACAAAATTAGTGTTTCATTCTCTCCGCCCCTTAAAAATTGCCAGTTTTGTGGCTCAGATTGGGCATAAAAATTTAGCAGATACTTTTTAGCTTGCTTTCTAAGATCTCAATCACACCTTGGAGAGGAGTTACGAAAATAAGTGAGTTGCTCATGAAGCTTTAAGATATGTGTAATAGAGGTCACGAGGAAATTAATAATTCTGCCTTTGAAGTGAAGTTTGATTAGTATGACAGGAGGCCACCCACTAAACAGTACAACTAAAGCAAAATATTAAACACCTGCTCATTAAATGAACACCAACAATCTGGAGATGTTTGGGGAAAAAATGGTGTGTTATCATATAATTGCAACCAGTCCCATAAGGCACGAACAGAAAGGAAGTGATTAACAGGCACGCAGGCAGCCTTAGTTCTGGCAGTGAGGGTGCTGCCTGCCTGATTTTGCAACCTTATTAACGCTCTTTAATGGTTTTTATTTTTATTATTATTTGCATACAATGAACATGTACAACCAACCTATAAACTCAGCTCTGTAGTTATCAAGACAAACTGCCCGAGTCAGAATCTGGTATTGCTTGCATCCCTGTGAACTTTGAGCAATTTTTTTAAGTGACATCATACCCTTCAACTTGCTGAGAATGAAATGTGAAACATAGCGTGTAACCAGTTTTAAATGTCTTTATGATAAATCCCTGTCTTGAGTGGAAATACTGCTTCGTATAAACCCAGTCTTATAATGGTTTGACTAGCATAAATAATTTATGACAATAAAAGTGTGGTATGGTTGAGAGGACAGAACAAAATTTATGCAATCCAAAGGCAACTTGGAAACTCACCCCAGTGACATCCTTTCAAATGAAATTACCGGTACTTGGAGTTTGTACCAGTGTCTGTGTACAGGATACTGCACCAGGACCACTGAGAGCAGATTGTGGCTCTGCATCTGGATTTTAAGCAGGCCTGTGCAACATTAGGGTGATTAATAATATTTGTAGCCGTGCAGGCTAAAATAACAAGGGTAAACAGAAGTCGTTATTCAGACCTTAATTTGGTTTTCCATGGTGAAGTCGGCGAAGGGAAGCTCTGTCCTCTGCCCGACGCTCCGCAATTGCCTGAGATGCCTAACACCGAGTTTAAATTTTCCTCTGAAGCATCAAGGTATTGATTGTTGCCAAAGGCAGGCTGACTCCATTGGCAGCTCATATATTGCTAGAGCGGGCAGGAGCTCTCAGATCAGGCTTTGTGTGCGCAGCAGTGCAGAGCCACAGCATTCCTAGGGAAGGGTGTGGGCTCAGAGGCCTGTGTGCTGTCCAGCAGGGCAGGTGGGCAGTCAGTCCTGGCACAGGCTGCCTTCTGGTGGCACTTCACTCTTCCTTGAGGGCCAGATGTGACAGCCCCTGCCTCTCCAGCCTGGCAACCCTCTTCCTGGCTCTTTATGCACATCATCAGTTCCACTTGTCTGAATTTGTGGAGCTCAGCCTCCTTTCTGTGTGGTGGATGGGTAAACAAAAAGATGCTGAAAAGTCAAAAAATGTTCATTTCAACCCTCTGACTCACCAAGGAATTTTAATGTCTCTTTCAAGAGCGGCCCACGTTTCTCAGGCGACCGATAAACCAAGTGGTGCTGGAGGAGGAGGCCGTGGATTTCCGGTGCCAGGTGCAGGGGGATCCCACACCCACAGTCCGGTGGAAGAAAGATGATGCAGATTTACCGAGAGGAAGGTGAGAGCAACGTTCACGTTCCCCACACTTTCAAATTTCAGTTGTTGAATAATGCTGGAATCCATCCCTACTACTTGCAGCTTGTTGTCTGACATTATTTCCGAGATTTATTTCCCTTATGGCTGGTCTTTGGCACTACAAAACTTGTTCCAGAGCCAGCTGAGCAGGGACACCCAGTCTGGGTGAGTTGTCCAGGTAATGGATTCCTGCGGAAGGAAGAAAAATGATTTGTAGGTGTTATGAGCACATGGGTATTCACTGAATTTACTGGAGACAGTAAAGATGTTTTAGGAATGTATTAGTGAGAGGTGAGAGTAGCCTTCAGAATAATGTGCTGATACCAAGAGGGAGACAACTTGGCAGGAGAGTTGCTCTGTTGCACTAGCAGAATGGATTAGAAGCACAGCACCGAGGTGGGCTTTGCTGGCTCCTTGGTTCACTTCTGTTAAGTCTTGGAGAGAAACCTTCCTCTTGAGGAAACAAAAAGCCAGACTAGCACAAGCATAAAGCAAAGCTGAAATCTGGAACAGGCCCCTTGTGTTCGAGAAAGACTTGTGTATTCTGGAACAAACACGGAGAATATTCCAGAGTGAGCAGGGGCAGAGAGACTATCCTGCAAAACAGTATTAAATTAGCTTGGCTCCTTTCAGCTAACAGAACAGCGTTTGGTCCTCATTTTCTGAAACTCTTCCTTGTTTTGATGCTGAATTATTGTTACATTAAAAAATATTAACACAGAAACAGGTCTGGGAACAGGAATTAAAACCCAGGTCTCCATAACCCAGCAAATCCTTCTTGGCCTTGTGGCTTTTAATTTCAACAGCAGATCTGAATAGCACCAGGTTTTTTTACCCTACCATAGTTGATCTTTTCCATCAGTGGAATATACTAATGGAATACATAATCTAGAAAAAACTTTTCTACATAAGTAAGATAGGTATGTGTATATATATATAAATACTTAAAAAAATTAATTTTCTTGCAACTTAAACAAATTAAATAGTGACTTAACTGTTTTGCTAATTATACTGGCAGATGTGTATGCGTGTAATACACAAAATATTATTTTGAAGAGAAGACTTTTGGATGTTAGGATAGATTTTTCTGTTTGCTTGCTATTTAACCGTGCACTGTAGAGTAGTGCACAGTAAATACATTGTGCTTTTGTGATTTATTTTTGCTGTTGTGCTACTTTTGTTGTTTTAAAGCGTGTCTACTTCTTGGTCTCATAAGCAGTAGTAATAGATGAAGAGCCAACAGTGTCTTTGGTTAGGTTGCATTTTTAATAGTTTCTTTTTTAATGTCTCTGTTACTTCTTTTTGTTTTTTATCTTACTGTGTACTTCGAGATGATTTTTCCTGTTCATTCATGATGTACTTCTAAGGAAGAAGAAATTTAGGAGGAAGCATAGGAAGAGTTTTCACTGGGCTTTTAACTAAAAGGAGAGAAGGTTCATGGGATACATTCTGATAATAATCAACTTCAGGTTCCAAAACTACTCTCAATGTTTTACAGTGTTTTCACACTGCTGTTTAACATTTCGTTAATTGTGTTTTGGCATCTTAAAAGAGAAAGCGAGGGTATGTTTCCATCTATATCTGTTTCCCAGAACATCAGAGGGGGGGTAAGGAAGGGGCAAGGTTGCAGAACCTCACTCTGGAGACCACCTTGGGGGACAGAGGACTAACACAGCCCCTGCCCACGTAGCAGGTGACCACCACCTGAGCCACATGGATTGTGGTCATCCAGTAGAATCTGACATCTGCACTTCAGAAGCAAACACCTCTGCTGGACAGCACTGTATGTTTTCTTTTCTAAAATGTTCCATATGTACAGCAGAATATGTGAGCAGAGTCTTCACTGTCTGAAAAGGGGATATTTCCAAATAGGAAATATCCACTGCATGATGCTTCACCAAGGAAGATTAACTTGGAATGTCTAAAACAAAAGCTATTGGTGGGGGTTTTTTTGGATTTTTTGAAACCAGCAAAGAAATTTGCTCAAGTGTAGTCTGAAGGAATAGATAGATGGATGAGAAAATTATAATATAGCAATTATATAAATTAAGAAGAGAATGTCAAAGTTTTTCCTCCTGGATGCAGTGGGAGGTGGGTTTTAGGGGTTTTTTTTTTGAGGTAAAAGAGAAATTAGCTTCCAGCTTTTGAGCCCCTGTATTTAAGTATTTCAGCATCTACAGCGAAATATAAAGCCCTCAAGGAATTCCCTTTGTTATTCTTCCTACATGCATAAACACTTCTTCTGAGCAGATCTGTGCAGCTATTTGTCTTATAACTCTCAATATCAATTTCCTGTTTCTACAGCTAACAACGTTCTTTGCACATCTGTCGGTTTTAATTTTTTCAATAATTTCCTTTTGGCTTCATCCCTAGATTACAAGACAATTATAGTAGGTACCTGTTTCAACAATTACTGCAAATTTTTAAATGTGTCTGTTGTTAGTTCGACTTCCAAAAGTGTCTAGTTCAGTGGCAGCAAAGTGGGACAAACTGAATTTTTGCATTTTGTTTCTGTAATTTGCTCCTGGTGAATGCCAGAATCAATAATAATGGATCCATAGTCTTTCAGAACTCCTTCTCTGTTTTTCCACCTTACTTACTTTTAGGTTTTTCTTAGTGACATGTGCGAAAGCAATCACAGTATTTTCTGGTGACAAGTATAAATAGTATTGCTGCACCAATTTGTGTGTTGAGTAATAATTGGAAAATAATTTCAGACTGTTGGAGTTTTAATTATAAAGGTCCCTGATGAACAACAAGCATCTCCAGTTGCAGTTGGATTAAAAGAGAAAAAACATCCTCGCTTCTAAAGAAATGATTATGTTTGAAAGCATCACTGTTTATAAAAAATTAATTTGACCATTTGTTGAAAAGTCTGTGTAATTAACCAGAACTATATGAATAACTGCGCTTTAAAACTGAGAGCAGTTAGTTTATTCTGAAGGTCCAAAACTTCATTCCAAATTTTAGCTGCTTTGAATTGATGATCTAAACCAACTATGGTAGTCTGTATTTTGAATTTAAAACCTTAAAATGATTCTTTGAGTGGAATTTTTCAAAATGCCAAGGAAACGTTGATCTCACTGGCAGTCACAGGAAGTTACTTGTCCAACATCCTGTAGACCTCACTTGAGATTTCAGACTGTAATATGTATCCTGGAGCTCTTCTGCATATGCCTGGACAGGAATTAAGAAAACAATAAATACTAGATGGAAACAGTGTTGTGACTTGTGTATGATAACCATTTTCATAGTTCTTTTACATTGTGATAATGAATTAATTGTAATCTTCAGTCTTTAAAATCCTTGTTAGAGCCCAAACTGATCCCAGCAAATTAATGACTTGCTGGTTTAAATGTTGATACAGCACCAACAGGGAGAAACAAAATGCAAAGTGAAGTCAGGGCTGTGTAAAGCCTTTTTCCAGAAGCTGCCCATTTCAAATCAGTGACCCAAGACTGAAATGCATTGTAAATCAAAGGTAGGGGCGCATGGTGTATATTTTATTTTAATTGCTCTAAAAATTCAGCATCACACCATAGCCTCCACAGTACACAAAGGCTAGGGAATAGTTAATCAAGTATGACTCATGTCAAACCACTGGAGGTGAACAGGATATTGTAGGGTCACCAATCCCATGCCTTTGGCTGAAATATGAGGTTCACTATTTCATGAATAGTTTCTTTTCATTATAAATGACACAAGGAAATGGCACAAAGATTGTAGTGAAGTGACTTAGACAATTGTGGCCATGCATAATTATTAGGACCTATTGAAAATGAAATAAAAATTGTCTTTATGCATTGAAGTCTCTTTCCAGAGACATGCTCAGGTATCTTTTCCTTTGATGTCTTCTTGGCCGAAATAGAGATTATACTTTCCTGCTAAAGACCTGATGGTCTCCTCTGTGGTGGGAAACTCAATATGGCCTGGATCCACTTCTGATTCATCTACATTTTAGTCCTGGTAACAGGAAGAAAGTGATATTATTTGAGAGCCTCCAGTATGAGAGTGGCATATCTATGACTAGCAATTTAATAACATTTGAATAAGGTTTGCACAGTGTTTCATTTCTTCAAATTTTCTAGCGAAGCCGAAGAGAGCAGCTGCATGGTCTGTAATTACATAGCAAGTAATAAGGACTTTTTTTTTTTTTTGTAGGAAGTGAAGAGATTTTCAATTACAAGTCAAAATTTATGACACACTATAATAACTGTTTAAACCTTTTATACAGAAGAAGCCAGCAGTGCCAGCTCTTCGGGAGAGTGAGGTTAGCTCAGCAAATGTATTTTTCAGTTGCCTTAAAAATGACTGAGTAGCAATCACATAGGCCTTTTTTTTGCATTCCAGCCCAGAACAGCTGTTTTAGCTCAGTAAATACATCTTTAATGAAATTACAACCTGCTCTTTTAAGTTGCACTTACAGGCACTGTCTGATTAGGTGGATATTGTACTAGAGATGAAAAGTGGCAACTGCACCAGCAGGAAGAGGTATTTGTTTTATGCATCACCCAGGCAGTGGGAGTGTAGGCAGAAAAACCAAGAGTGATGCTTCAGAACGACAGTGGTGTGAAGTTTACACAAGGTATATTGCTAAGTGTTGAGAGATTGTAGGTTATTAAATGAAACAGAGCAGTGTCACGCAGCAGTGAAAACCACAAACAGCACAGTAAGCTTTCTTACTTGCTGAAGATTAGCCATATTCATTAAAAATTGTTTGGGAAAGAGCATTCTTAAAGCATAGAGTTAAATTATATATTCCAATATGTATGTTAGCTGCAACAACACAAGTCTGTGTAGGTGTTAGTTTTGCTATGTTTTTGAAACTGGATGCTTTGTACCTGAAAAGTGATTGCATCTGCAAAGTCTGGGCAGAAATACTATCACACTCCTGATAGTACTTATTGAAAAAGTACACACCTATAATTTCTGTACTTTCCTTCATGGCATCTTGTGAGCCCAAAACTAAGAGTAAAACATGAC